GTAGAAATAACACTCTACGTTTACGTATACGTGGATTTTGTTTGGATTAATTTTTATTTCTGCTTTATTTGGTGGATTTAGTATCTTATAGGTACAAATCGAAAATCAGGTGTCCATGAAGCAAAAATGATCAAAGAGTAACAAAAGAGTTGCAATTAGGAAAATAAAATCAAATTAGAAGAGTGGATCCCTCAACATCTTTGGTAGTGTCCACGAAGTCGAGCATAACTTTCTCATCCGTACTCCAAATCAAATGGTTCTGGCGGCATTATATTTCAGCTGGCTACAATTCCTGAATAACGTCAAAATTCCAAATTCGGACTCGAACATGGTCAAAATTGGATTCCAAAAGCGATCACAAAAATACGTACTACATTTCGAGGACATGAATGCGCATCAAGAAACATGCAAAAAAACAATCGCTAGAAAAGATACGCACAAAAGTAAAAGTACAAAAGCATGCACGCAAAAGTGCATTTGCAAAAAGGACCATGAAAACACAAACTACAATCCTAGGACATTAATACAAATCAACAAACATGCATAAACACACTCGCTCAAATGGACATGCACAAACGTACGTGTAAAAAAACATGCGCATAACTACATTTGCAACAACGTTCTTAAGAACTCGAACTACAACACCATGACTTTAATTCGCGTAACAAAACAACAGCAAAGTTACTAGATACAAAAGATACAGTGGAGTGTAGAAATAACACTCTACGTTTACGTTTACGTGGTTTTTTTTGGATTAATTTATATATTTGTTTTAATTGGTGGGTTTAGTATCGTATTGGTACAAATCGAAAATTAGGTGTCCATGAAGCAAAAATGATCAAAGAGTAACAAAAGAGTTGCAATTAGGAAAATAAAATCAAATTAGAAGAGTGGATACCTCAACATCTTTGGTAGTGTCCACGAAGTCGAGCATAACTTTCTCATCCGGAGTCCAAATCAACTGGTTATGGCGGCATAAGAAAGCTATTTCAGCTGGCAACAATTCATGTCTAACGTCAAAATTCCAAATTCGGACTCGAACATGGTCAAAATTGGATTCCGAAGCGATCATGAAAATACGTACAACAGTTCGAGGACATGAATGCACGCATCAAGAAACATGCACAAAAACACTCGTTAGAAAAGATAAGCACATAAGTAAAAGTACAAAAGCATGCACGTAAAAGTGCATTCGCAAATAGGATAATGAAAGCACTAACTACAATCCTAGGAAATTAATACAAATAAACAAACATGCACAAACACACTCGCTCAAATGGACATGCACAAACGTACGTGTAACAAAACATGCGCATAACTTCATTCGCAACAACGTTCTTAAAAACTCGAACTACAACACCAGGACTTTAATACGCATAACAAAACAACAGCAAAATTACTAGATACAAAAGATACAGTGGAGTGTAGAAATAACACTCTACGTTTACGTTTACGTGGTTTTTTTTGGATGAATTTATATTTTTGTTTTAATTGGTGGGTTTAGTATCTTATAGGTACAAATCGAAAATTAGGTGTCCATAAGCAAAAATGATCAAAGAGTACCAAAAGAGTAGCAATTAGGAAAATAAAATCAAATTAGAAGAGTGGATCCCTCAACATCTTTGGTTGTGTCCACGAAGTCGAGCATAACTTTCTCATCCAAACTCCAAATCAACTGGTTCTAGCGGCATAAGAAAGCTATTTCAGCTGGCTACAATTCCTGTGTAACGTCAAATTTCCAAATTCGGACTTGAACATGGTCAAAATTGGATTCCAAAAGCGATCACGAAAATACGTACTACAGTTCGAGGACATGAATGCGCATCAAGAAACATGCACAAAAACACTCGCTTGAAAAGAGACGCACATAAGTAAAAGTACAAAAGCATGCACAAAAGTACTTACGCAAAAGTGCATTCGCAAAAAGGATCATGAAAACACAAACTACAATCCTAAAACATAAATACAAATCAACAAACATGCACAAACACACTCGCTCAAATAGACATGCACAAATGTACATGTAGAAAAACATGTGCAAAAGTGCATTCGCAACAACGTTCTTAAAAACATTACAACACTAGGTCTTTATTACGCATAACCAAACAAGAGCAAAACCACTAGATACAAAAGATAGAGTGGAGTGTAGAAATAACACTCTACGTTTACGTTTACGTGGATTTGTTTTTGGATTAATTTATATTTCTGTTTTAATTGGTGGATTTAGAATCTTATAGGTACAAATCGAAAATAAGGTGTCCATGAAGCAAAAATGATCAAAGACAAAAGAGTTGCAATAAGGAAAATAAAATCAAATTAGAAGAGTGGATCCTTCAACATCTTTGGTAGTGTCCACGAAGTCGAGCATAACTTTTTCATCCAGATTCCAAATCAACTAGTTCCGGCAGCATAAGAAAGCTATTTCAGCTTGCTACAATTCCTGTCTACCCTCAAAATTCCATATTCAGACTCGAACATGGTCAAAATTGGATTCCAAAAGCGATCAGTTCGAGTACATGAATGCGCATCAAGAAACATGCACAAAAATACTCGCTAGAAAAGACACGCACATAAGTAAAAGTACAAAAGCATGCACGCAAAAGTGCATTCGGAAAAAGGATCATGAAAACACAAACTACAATCCTAGGACATTAATACAAATCAACAAACATGCATAAACACACTCGCTCAAATGGACATGCACAAACGTACATTTAAAAAAACATGCGCATAACTACATTCGCAACAACGTTCTTAAAAACTCGAACAACAACAGTAGGACTTTAATACGCATAACCAAACAACAGCAAAATTACTAGATACAAAAGATACTGTGGAGTGTAGAAATAACACTCTACGTTTACGTTTACGTTTAGGTGGTTTTTTTTGGATTAATTTATATTTTTGTTTTAATTGGTGGATTTAGTATCTTAAAGGTACAAATCGAAATTTAGGTGTCCATGAAGCAAAAATGATTAAAGAGTAACAAAAGAGTTGCAATTAGGAAAATAAAATCAAATTAGAAGAGTGGATCCCTCAACATCTTTGGTAGTGTCCATGAAGTCGAGCATTACTTTCTCATCCGGACTCCAAATCAAATTGTTCCGGCGGCATAAGAAAGCTATTTCAGCTTGCTACGATTCCTGTCTAACGTCAAATTTCCAAATTCGGACTCGAACATGGTCAAAATTGGATTCCAAAAGCGATCACGAAAATACGTACTACAGTTCGAGGACTTGAATGCGCATCAAGAAACATGCACAAAACACTCGCTAGAAAAGATACGCACATAAGTAAACGTACAAAAGCATGCACAAAAGTACTCACGCAAAAGTGCATTCGCAAAAAGGATCATGAAAACACAAACTACAATCCTAGGACATTAATACAAATCAACAAACATGCACAAACACACTCGCTCAAATAGACATGCTCAAACGTACATGTAGAAAAACATGCGCAAAAGTGCATTCGCAACAACGTTCTTAAAAACATTACAACACTAGGACTTTAATACGCATAACCAAACAACAGCAAAACCACTAGATACAAAAGATACAGTGGAGTGTAGAAATAACACTCTACGTTTACGTTTACGTGTATTTGTTTTTGGATTAATTTATATTTCTGTTTTAATTGGTGGATTTAGTATCTTATAGGTACAAATCGAAAATTAGGTGTCCATGAAGCAAAAATGATCAAAGACAAAAGAGATGCAATTAGGAAAATAAAATCAAATTAGAAGAGTGGATCCCTCAACATCTTTGGTAGTGTCCACGAAGTCGAGCATAACTTTTTCATCCGGACTCCAAATCAACTAGTTCTGGCAGTATAAGAAAGCTATTTTAGCTGGCTACAATTCCCGTCTAACGTCAAAATTCCAAATTCGGACTCGAACATGGTCAAAATTGGATTCCAAAAGCGATCACGAAAATACGTACTACAGTTCGAGGACATGAATGCGCATCAAGAAACATTTACAAAAACACTCGCTAAAAAAGACACGCACATAAGTAAAAGTACAAAAGCATGCACGCAAAAGTGCATTCGCAAAAAGGATCATGAAAACACAAACTACAATCCTAGGACATCAATACAAATCAACAACCATGCATAAACACACTTGCTCAAATGGACATGCACAAACGTACGTGTAAAAAAACATGCGCATAACTACATTCGCAACAACGTTCTTAAAAACTCGAACTACAACAGTAGGACTTTAATACGCATAACCAAACAACAGCAAAATTACTAGATACAAAAGATACAGTGGAGTGTAGAAATAACACTCTACGTTTACGTTTACGTGGTTTTTTTTGGATTAATTTATATTTTTGTTTTAATTGGTGGATTTAGTATCTTATACGTACAAAATTGAAAATTAGGTATCCATGAAGCAAAAATGATCAAAGAGTAACAACAGAATTGCAATTAGGAAAATAAATTCAAATTAGAAGAGTGGATCCCTCAACATCTTTGGTAGTGTCCACGAAGTCGAGCATAACTTTCTCATCCGGACTCCAAATCAACTGGTTCCGGCGGAATTAGAAAGCTATTTCATCTGGCTACAATTCCGGTCTAACGTCAAAATTCCAAATTCGGACTCGAACATGGTCAAAATTGGATTCCAAAAGCGATCACGAAAATACGTACACTACAACAAAAATCATCTTTGTGGACACAAGAAAATGTCCGAATATATAACATTTTGGGACATTTGCACTTTAAGGGGCAAATAAAATATATGTCGCGTAGTTGTGTGTCGCATTAGCCTTTGGGACATTTATTATATGCCCCTCAAAGTTTCTCTTTTTGAGGCACTCATTTGTGTCCCAATAAATGGTTATTAAGACATAAATATATGTCCTCTTAAAAAACCCATGTTTCTGCTAATCAGTTTTTCGAGACAATTATATATGTCATTATATATACATTTCATATCCTGCTAATATAACTAAAATATATATAAAATACAAATTTAAATAACATACACAACATAACAATAATCTCAATTTTCATAACAAAAATTTCAAATATATTCAACTTAGAAAAATCATAGTACTACAAAGGATCTTCCAAACCAACCAACATTATGGAATCATAGTCTTATAATGTAAAATTTGAATATCTTGATTAACTAAACTTTTAATCTCTAGCAACTCTAAACTTCAATAGTATGATTCACCTCCCATCATATTCTAGATGGCTTGCATCAACAATAAAATTCATCATTCAAAGCAACTGCATAAGCAACCTGTAGGAAAGAAAAAAAAACATCACGAAGGAATAAAAAAATAAGTTACAAATAACAGTGCCTTCATTAATGAGTAAACATATAAAAATGCAAAATAACATACCATCTCTTATTTATCTGAATATAATCATTGGAGAAATTCCTTTTTTTTTCTACCTAGCATAAAAAATTTATATTTAATACCTCATAAAAAAATTAAAAAGTTACAAAAGATAAGGAAAAAATAAAATAATACATACCAGTAAAACGGCCCAAATAATATGTATTCCAAAAGCCTTCCAATTGTTTGAATATAATTATACGAGAAATTTATTCTTACCTTTTTTTTTCACCTGATACCATTCAACTTAATCAACACCTTCTGCAAAAATAAATAAGATAGCGGATGAACATAATTAATGCAAATGTAAACTCTAACCTCTTGCCATGTTTCTAGACTAAATCAAAATCCTTAAAACATAGGTCTACAAGACATGACATAGTTCAACACACAATTAAGCAACATTAAAAGATACAGTACGTCTCTTGATGCCACAAGTACAAAACAAAGAATATGAAAGATAGTCTTATAAGGAACTATAATTGAAAACAAATAATACCCGAATAGTCTTCACTATAGGTTTGTTAAAAATCAGCCTTCCCCTGTAGCAACCAAATTTTTTTAAACAATTATCACGAAGAAAACAGGTAAGAAAAGAATAAAGTTGAGTATTAAATTAGCTGTTGCTTAAGATAAGTCTCAGTAATAAGATCACTTCGTTAAATAAATTATCGCCATACTCAGATGTAATAAAGAGATTATGCAATCTGATGCACACTAGCCAGAGCACATGAGACATCTCCTAAGGCACCTAAATAACCAAACATATACTACAATTAGTCTTAATATTTTTATTCCATTAAAATAACAGTTGATGCAAAAATAAAACAAAATACCAATTAGATAAGAGTAATTAACAAACATGATATTTGTTTATGGTTACTATCCAATAACATTGTGAGGAGAAATATATTGGCAAGAAAAACACAGTAAATGCATTTCTCAAGGACTCCAACATCAAAATCCCATATTCAATCTTAAACTTAGTTATACAGAGCGCATCAATTGTTTATTAGCAGTACAAACTAATTTTTCTTACAAAAAAAATTTAACTTGATGTATTCTTCTTAACAATAAAAATCATATTTGGAATAGCAAAATTTAATCAGTTATATAACCAATCCCATTACCAAAATTTATAATAGCTAGGTGGTAATCGGGGACCAAATCAAAGCACTCATCACATTAGAGTGAAAAATCGGACAAGTCACATGCATTTTCCTTTCACAAGTGAAAAATCATGGTTAAGCATAAAAAATTCTCAAGCTAGTTCTTCGGAGAAGTTCAAGAAATACATATAATAAGGTAAATTTACATTTGTCAAAAGAAAGAAAAAACAATACCTTTCATTGTCATTGCTACCATAGCTGATTTTTTTTTATTAAACTCTTACATCGTAACTCATCAACGCTCGAACATTCTTGACATTGTTGCCGTCGAACTGCAAATGGGGAAAAACTTTCATAATCCTTGCCCTAAACCATTTTCGTCGAATTTAAATGTTCATTAAACCATAGTATCAATTGATTGAGAGATATATAGGTGAGAGAAACAGAAATTGATTGCCGTCAAATGAAAATTGGGAAAACGTTTCAAGCCCTAACTTCGTTTCGCCCAATTCAAATTTTTTTTCTAAACCCTAGTTTCAGAAGATTAAAAGGATGGGAGAGAGACACAAAATCTTAAGATAGAAAAGAGATCTTACCTTCATAAGTTTAATCAAGAAATTCTCGACTTCAAGGAGATGAGACGTTCGGTGCATAAGAAGGGAACGCTGGGAGATTAAATGAGATGGAAAGAAAATGGAACTAATAAACAAGAATTTATTTTATAATTTTTTTTTTTCGCGCAAATTCAATTTGAGGTATAAGTGCCCCGATAAGTTAAATAATTAGATGCAATTTATGAAGTGTCCCAATATCCTTTATTTGGGATGCTTGTGAAAAAGTGTCTCTAACTATATGTCGTAACAGATGTTTTTTGTTGTAGTGGTACTACAGTTCGAGGACATGAATGCGCATCAAGAAACACGCAAAAAAACACTCGCTAGAAAAGATACGCACAAAAGTAAAAGAACAAAAGGATGCACGCAAAAGTGCATTCGCAAAAAGGATCATGAAAACACAAACTACAATCCTAGGACATTAATACAAATCAACAAACATGCATAAACACACTCGCTCAAATGGACATGCACAAACGTACGTGTAAAAAAACAAGCCCATAACTACATTCGCAACAACGTTCTTAAAAACTCAAACTACAACACCAGGACTTTAATACGCATAACAAAACAACAGCAAAATTACTAGATACAAAAGATACAGTGGAGTGTAGAAATAACACTCTACGTTTACGTTAACGTGGTTTTTTTTGGATTAATTTATATTTTTGTTTTAATTGGTGGATTTAGTATCTTATAGGTACAAATCGAAAATTAGGTGTCCATGAAGCAAAAATGATCAAAGAGTAACAAAAGAGTTGCAATTAGGAAAATAAAATCAAATTAGAAGAGTGGATCCCTCAATATCTTTGGTAGTGTCCACGAAGTCGAGCATAACTTTCTCATCCGGACTCCAAATCAACTGGTTCCAGCGGCATAAGAAAGCTATTTCAGCTGGCTACAATTCCTGTCTAACGTTAAATTTCCAAATTCGGACTCGAACATGGTAAAAATTGGATTCCAAAAGCGATCACGAAAATACGTACTACAGTTCGAGGACATGAATGCACATCAAGAAACATGCACAAAAACACTCGCTAGAAAAGATACGCACATAAGTAAAAGTACCAAAGCATGCACAAAAGTACTCACGCAAAAGTGCATTCGCAAAAAGGATCATGAAAACACAAACTACAATCCTAAAACATTAATACAAATCAACAAACATGCACAAATACACTCGCTCAAATAGACATGCACAAACGTACATGTAGAAAAACATGCGCAAAAGTGCATTCGCAAGAATGTTCTTAAAAACATTACAACACTAGGACTTTAATACGCATAACCAAACAACAGCAAAACCACTAGATACAAAAGATACAGTGGAGTGCAGAAATAACACTCTACGTTTACGTTTACGTGAATTTTTTTTTGGATTAATTTATATTTCTGTTTTAATTGGTGGATTTAGTATCTTATAGGTGCAAATCGAAAATTAGGTGTCCATGAAGCAAAAATGATCAAAGAAAAAAGAGTTGCAATTAGGAAAATAAAATCAAATTAGAAGAGTGGATCCCTCAACATCTTTGGTACTGTCCACGAAGTCGAGCATAACTTTTTCATCCGGCCTCCAAATCAACTAGTTCCGGCAGCATAAGATAGCTATTTCAGCTGGCTACAATTCGTGTCTACCCTCAAAATTCCATATTCGGACTCGAACATGGTCAAAATTGGATTCCAAAAACGATCACGAAAATACGTACTACAGTTCGAGGACATGAATGCGCATCAAGATACATGCACAAAAACACTTGCTACAAAAGATACGCACAAAAGTAAAAGTACAAAAACATGCACAAAAGTACTCACGCAAAAGTGCATTCGCAAAAAGGATCATGAAAACACAAACTACAATCCTAGGACATTAATACAAATCAACAAACATGCACAAACACACTCGCTCAAATAGACATGCACAAACGTACATGTAGAAAAACATGCGCAAAAGTGCAATCGCAACAACGTTCTTAAAAACATTACAACCCTAGGACTTTAATACGCATAACAAAACAACAAAAAAACCACTCGATACAAAAGATACAGTGGAGTGTAGAAATAACACTCTACGTTTAGGTTTACGTGGATTTCGTTTGGATTAATTTTTATTTCTGTTTTAGTTGGTGGATTTAGTATCTTATAGGTACAAATCGAAAATTAGGTGTCCATGAAGAAAAAATGATCAACGAGTAACAAAAGAGTTGCAATTAGGAAAATAAAATCAAATTAGAAGAGAGGATCCCTCAATATCTTTTGTAGTGTCCACGAACTCGAGCATAACTTTCTCATCCGGACTCCAAATCAACTGGTAGTGGCGGCATAAGAAAGTTGTTTCAGCTGGCTACAATTCCTGTCTAACGTCAAAATTTCAAATTCGGACTCGAACATGGTCAAAATTGGATTCCAAAAGCAATAACGAAAATACGTACTACAGTTCGAGGACATGAATGCGCATCAAGAAACATGCACAAAAACAATCGCTAAAAATGATACGCACATAAGTAAAAGTACAAAAGCATGCACGGAAAAGTGCATTCGCAAAAAGGATTATGAAAACACAAACTACAATCCTAGGACATTAATACAAATCAACAAACATGCACAAACACACTCGCTCAAATAGACATGCACAAACGTACATGTAGAAAAACATGCGCAAAAGTGCAATCGCAACAACGTTCTTAAAAACATTACAACCCTAGGACTTTAATACGCATAACCAAACAACAAAAAAACCACTAGATACAAAAGATACATTGGAGTGTAGAAATAACACTCTACGTTTACGTTTACGTGGATTTCGTTTGGATTAATTTTTATTTATGTTTTAGTTGGTGGATTTAGTATCTTATAGGTACAAATCGAAAATTAGGTGTCCATGAAGAAAAAATGATCAACGAGTAACAAAAGAGTTGCAATTAGGAAAATAAAATCAAATTAGAAGAGAGGATCCCTCAATATCTTTTGTAGTATCCACGAACTCGAGCATAACTTTCTCATCCGGATTCCAAATCAAATGGTTCTGGCGGCATTAGAAAGCTATTTCAGCTGGCTACAATTCATGTCTAACGTCAAAATTTCAAATTTGGACTCGAACATGGTCAAAATTGGATTCCAAAAGCAATAACGAAAATACGTACTACAGTTCGAGGACATGAATGCGCATCAAGAAACATTCACAAAATCACTCGCTAGAAAAGATACGCACATAAGTAAAAGTACAAAAGCATGCACGGAAAAGTGCATTCGCAAAAAGGATAATGAAAACACTAACTACAATCCTAGGACATTAATACAAATCAACAAACATGCCTAAACACATTCGCTCAAATGGACATGCATAAACGTACCTGTAAAAAAACATACGCATAACTGCATTCCTAACAACGTTCTTAAAAACACGAACTACAACACTAGGACTTTAATACGCACAACCAAACAACAACAAAATTACTAGAAACAAAAGTATAGTGGAGTGTAGAAATAACACTCTACGTTTACGTTTACATGGATTTTTTTTGGATTAATTTATAATTCTGTTTTAATTAGTGGATTTAGTATCTTATAGGTACAAATCGAAAATTAGGTGTCCATGAAGCAAACATGATCAAAGAGTAACAAAAGAGTTGCAATTAGGAAAATAAAATCAAATTAGAAGAGAGTATCCCTCAACATCTTTGGTAGTGTCCACGAAGCCGAGCATAACTTTCTCATTCGGACTCCAAATCAACTGGTTCTGGCGGCATAAGACAGCTATTTCAGCTGGCTACAATTCCTCTCTAACGTCAAAATTCCAAATTCGGACTCGAACATGGTCAAAATTGGATTCCGAAAGCAATCACGAAAATACGTACTACAGTTCGAGGACATGAATGCACATCAAGAAACATGCACAAAAACACTCGCTAGAAAAGATACGCACATAAGTAAAAGTACAAAAGCATGCACGCAAAAGTGCATTCGCAAAAAGGATCATTAAAACACAAACTACAATCCTAGGACATTAATACAAATCAAGAAACATGCATAAACACACTCGCTCAAATGGAAATGCACAAACGTACGTGTAAAAAAACATGCGCATAACTACATTCGCAACAACGTTCTTAAAAACTCGAACTACAACACTAGGACTTTAATACGCATAACCAAACAACAGCAAAATTACTAGATACAAAAGATACAGTGGAGTGTAGAAATAACACTCTAAGTTTACGTTTACGTGGTTTTTTTTGGATTAATTTATATTTTTGTTTTAATTGGTTGATTTAGTATCTTATAGGTACAAAACGAAAATTAGGTGTCCATGAAGCAAAAATGATCAAAGAGTAACAAAAGAGTTGCAATTAGGAAAATAAAATCAAATTAGAAGAGTGGATCCCTCAACATCTTTGGTAGTGTCCACGAAGTCGAGCATAACTTTCTCATCCGGACACCAAATCAAATGGTTCCGGCGGTTTAAGAAAGCTATTTCAGCTCGCTACAATTCCTGTCTAACGTCAAAATTCCAAATTTGGACTCGAACATGGTCAAAATTGGATTCCAAAAGCGATCACGAAAATACGTACTACAGTTCGAGGACATGAATGCACAAAAACACTCGCTAGAAAAGATACGCACATAAGTAAAAGTACAAAAGCATGCACGCAAAAGTGCATTCGCAAAAAGGATTGTGAAAACACAAACTACATTCCTAATACATCAATACAAATCA